TTGGGAAGCATGAAAGTTTTTATGTATCTTACAGATTCTGGCAGGAGAGAAATGCCTATAATATTTATTAAGGGCTAATCCAACATTCACATTATTTCCCTTCCATTTATCATTATCATCATCATCATCATCATCATCACCACTAACACCATTGTTATCCTTCACATTTGTAGAGCATGTTACATATATCAAAGCACACTTAAATATTTTCAGCAAAACAGATGTAGGAGTTATAACCACTATTTATTATTATAACGTTGATTAATACAGTACTTATCAAACTTTATATACGCATCACCTGGAAAATTTGTTTAAATGTAGTTTCTGATTATTAGAGCTGGATAGGGCCCCAAATCTGCATTTTTAACAAGCTTCTGTGCCATGCCAATACTGTTGGTCTGTGGGTCACACTTTAGTGCAAGAGAGTAACATTTATTGAGTGTTTGCCAGGTACCAAGTGTTCTTAACTGTATGGTTACCTTATAAAGAAGAGCAAGTAGAAAACATGGCACTTGTTGAAGAAATTAGCCTTAAGTAGAACCCAATTCTTCTGACCTCTAGATTACTATTTCTTCTACAATACCACTCTCCTTGGCATATTAGAAGCAATTCTCTACTCTGGGAAAGTAGGCAGTCATTAATTTATGATATTCTTATAAGTGAACAACATTTATCTAAAAGTATATTTTTCAAGTTTCCTTACTAAACAAAAGGCTAAAAAGCAATTTTCTTCAACATTACCATTAATGTTATAACCTCTAGTTATATAGAAACCAAATGGACAACACAATTTTTCATGCTTTCATTTCTTTTCCCATCTGTTAAAACTTAATATATTTAGCTAAACTATATATTCATGGTCCAATGCATTTTATCCTTGCAGATTCTGTGACATTGAAATTCTACCCTCTTGCTTTAGTGGAAGGCCTCATTTTCTATTCCTGGGGCTAGCAGCATTCCATTTGACATTTGATGCCCATGAGATTTTTTTTTATAGAATCTAGGTTATGAGATTGAGTCTCTTGCCACATATTTTTAGAATGGAAACCTGTGTTACTTTTCCCAGAGGTGTTTTACATTATGCTTTTCTTGAAATGGTTTTGATTATTTAAAAAGAAGCCGCCAATGATAAAACCATTTGTGTAATAATCACCATTGACTAGAGAGCTCTTTATTTGTTTTGAAGAGAATTTGTTCAGAGGAAAGCTACAGCAATCCTCTCTTCTACCCCTAACTCAAAGCAAAAGACTTCGTTAATGTTACAATGATAAAGTGGGGAAAATTTCTCCTACTATAAATTTTAAAGTAACTAGACGCTCTTTTGAAAAAGATAAATGATGAAATGTGCTTAAAATGACTAGTACATATGACTGGATGCAAGGGCTTTAGTACAAACACAATACAATGAAAGTTCCCTGTCTAATCATCTTGACAAAGGTATACATTCAGTTATTTTATCTTCTAAAATAGATAATACATAATCAACATAAATAATTACTAAAAGTGAACTCTACTAAATTTAATCACAAAGGAAAATTAAAGGCAAGATATTTGGTGTTTCAGAAACTGATATATGTCCTAATGCAATTGTTACTTGAACTTTATACTTAGCATCAACTTGTAATCACTGAAGGATATCTGCTTTATATTTTATATGTTGGCCAAATTGACTCATTTGACATGAAATTTTATTAAATTTAAAATTAACTATATCTGATATAATATAAAAGATAAAAATTTAATGTATACTCATTATAACAGAATCAATTGAAATTACATCTCATAACAGTAATCTTTTCTTCATTTCAGAGTTTCTTTCACTGTCTAGTAACTGACACATTATGATGCACAAAAAAAAAAGTGCCTATGGGGAAAAAAGTGAATTAATGTTAATCGACTAAACCAAATAAAATAATAATAATGAAAAGAAAAAATATAAAACTAACATTGGGCAGGTATTTTCTATATGCCAAGTACTGTGCTAAGCATAACAGTAAATATTATTTTGTTTAATCATCACAAAAATATTATGAGGTGGGCATTATTATTTTCCTGCAGAAAAATGTGATTTTGTAGAATAACCTCCCAAAATAACATGACTAGCAAATATTAGTGCTCATACTCACACTCAGAGCTTTGTGGCTTGAATTACACAGCCATTATACTCTTTTCATCTATTAACTTTAGTTTAGAACTTGCTCTAGTGCCACAACAAAAGTCACCTTTTTAGTATAATATAGATACTACATACAGACATTTGAATTTAAATTTTATAGCCAGAAGGCAAGAGTGCTTGGTTTTGCAATTAAATATTCGCATGATTTAAATTCTTTCCTTTTCCAAAGATGCTAGGTAAAACGTTAGCCTTTATTCAGTTTGTTCAGCATCACAACCCCTATCACCACCACCACATAACCATCATCTTCCTTGTCTTATAAGGCATAGTAGTTACTAAGGCCTTTCTCTGTTTTAAGTATTGAGCTAAGTTATGCAACTCTACAGATTTATCTAAGTCATTGCTTACTGGTCACCAATCACTCTTTTTTTTTTTTTTTTTTTTTTTTTGGGGGGTCCATTAGTGGCCAGGCTTGGTATATTCGTTATTTGAAAAGCTATTAACGTGTGAGGTAATATTACAGATGTGCTTTAAAGCAATGTTATTGCTTTATAAAAAGGCGATAGTTACACAAAAAATTGAAAGTAAAACACCATTTTTCTGTTAGCATTTTCCTAAGAAGTGATACTGGGGAAGAGGTTTATCTGTGTTAAATTTTAATGGGCTGATTCTGTTAAGGAAATAAAATGGAGAATCATGCAGTTTCTTCTCAGTTTGCCAAACTGATTTCCTAATGAGTCTATGATAGAGTTGATATTGAGTTTTGGCATGCAAAAGCTGTTTTAAATTGGTAAATGAAGAAGCAAAGAAATACACAAAATTGATGCATCCTACATGTGAAATTGTCTTTCTTATAGCACTCACATTATTATTTTTCTTCAGAATGAATTTGATTTTCCAAATTAGTACTCAGAATATGTACAGTAAGTTGGTTAAAGAACCATTATTATCAGGTATTACCTTTTATAGTTGGTTATTAGCAGCACATTGACATAATTTAGTCAGTTAACTAATAGTTTTTAGATTTTGACACTCTTGTCATCAAGAAATGCATGACATTGTATCCAAAGCTCTTGATGCTACAGCCACTGCTTCACACAGCTTTTACTTAGGATGAAAGCATTAGCTTTAAAAGTCCTCCTCTCCTCAGTTTTTATATACTTTTTTCTCCCACTCAAAACTCCCTTTTGTTATTTTGTACCATGGATATGTTAAAAAAAAATCTGAATCAGAAAAAAAATGATGATCTAGACAGGAAGATCCATTTTCATTTGTTTATTTCTGTTTTGTAATATGTGTTATTGTTCTCTGTATGAAATCGATGACTGTGTGATATTACAGCCCTTAGGTTGCTATGTGCTGGAATTTATTTAATATGCTAAACCTTATGAAGTTGATATCATTCTAGCCACAGTCAACTTGTAGTACATTTGAAACTGGAGGTAGTAAATATCTTCATTTTAAACCCTTTTAATTAAAAGTAATTAAGAATTCCCTAACTAGGACTTTGTGACAATTTACTAATGGTCATCTGAATCTAAAATTTGTGTTATCAGTAATAGAAATATCTTGCAATTCAGATTTTCCATAATTAGTTGTAGGATTTAAAATTTAATGGAGGCATTAGAATTCTGGTAGGATTCAAATTTATTTTAAAAGCTTTAAAATGTCATTTTATAACCAAATAATAATACATTTGGATGTCTCCCTAAAACCAAATGAAATCACATACTTTTACAATCAGGTAAAAGTGTTTATTCTATTTACTACACACACCCAGCAAATTCCACTGTGCTGTGACTGGACCAAATATTGCCACTACCATAGTCTGTAGAAAGAAGGAATTAGAATATTTAAGTTGAGTGAATAGACTAACGCTGGCAAGTTAAATTATTACAGAATTCTGTGTTTAAGAATAAAGGCAATATTCTCTTTTTCTTAAAGTCTATCAATAAACAATCAATAAGCTAATATTTTCTTTTAGAATATTATTTATCAGTGTAAGACTGTTCTCAGTGCAAATTTTTTCCAATCTCTCTTATCTTTATTCAGTGCTGAATAAAAGAATATTGTAAAAATCCCCACATTTTGCTTAAAAAAGAGAATAGTACGCTCTTTTACATGCTCTTCTTGTAGGCTTGACAAAAACAAGTATGATTTGTCAACGTTACTGAATGTCTATCAATAAAGCAAATGCACTAATTAATCACATTATAATAGAAATATCAATTCAAAGTATAACCTTCTGATTTGCTTTTGTGACGGGCAAAACTGGCTGATGGTGCATTGGTACATATTTACAAAATTCAGTCAGTTGAAACTGTTTCTTCCTAAAGTATTATTTAATCAGATTTGATTTGAAGGGCACATGAAGTGACAGGGTCTCACTTTGACATTCATCTTTGGAGGATAACAAAAGAATGTAGTATAAAATGTTTATCCTTATTTCATTTTTTTCCTGCTAAAACCACTGTTGGAGGTAGGCCCATAATATTAAAATGGCTAGCCCTTGCTCCATAGTTGTGTTTTGTGTTTTTAAATATCAATTATTGACAGATATCATAATTACAGCTACATAGGTATCCAATATTGACTTACCAATATTAATTAATTGAAGAAAACATTTTTAGGGGGAGATTTACCTGGGGTGAGAGTTCCTGAGACGAATAGCTTTCATGAGGAAGCATAGGCAGAGTTTTGAGAACGAATTTAAACTTTTAGTAGAGCCAGGTGAATTGAGGAATGCGATGGGTTCTATGACTGTCAGAATGAAGACTAGATCCTTTCCTGGGAGCATGAGGGATGAGGGTCACTGGCAAGCCAGTACTGTTGAGCTGCTTATTCCTCCTATTGTAAAGGTGTTTGCCTCTATCTTGTCTTTCAGTCCTCCACAAGCAACCCAGAGAAGTGTGTCTCTGTCTGCTAGAGCTTGGCCGGATTGCAGCCAGGTAGGTCAAACTACTGCAACTATGTCACGACATAGACGATTTCAGCATCCAAGCAACACAGAAGCTTGCTGGCTTTTCATTGCTAATGTTTAACCTGGATGTTGAGAATCTACTCATTCGGGAATGATAGTATGAACTTCTTTAGGGCAGTAGTTGACCAAACTAAAAGTGTGCCACCAATATTCTTAACCTCAAGATCTTGTTGTCAAAGCCACTATGTCTAAGCATTTGCTAATATCGTTTAATAAAATACATTTTCCCTCCAAAACTTTCCTGGGGGTGGGGGAGGACATTGTACATGCAGTTTTATATGACAGTTCTCCTTAGTGGAAGTCTATTCCCATATTCTGTCTATCTTCCTCCTCCTTAACCTCCTAGCTTCCTATTTACTTTTTAATAATTTTCAGCCTCCCTTTTTATTCCTTTTTTTACTTTCCCTCATTCAACATTTTGCTCTTTTCGTTTCCACTTCTGACTGGGATGATAGTTTTAAAATTATCTATGTTTTTATTAGAAAAAGATATCGAATGTTATCCTTATGTAGAAGCCTCTTTGAAACCTGTTTTTTCCTGTAGGAAGGCAAAAGAAGAATTAATTGCAGAAATCATAGCTAAATAAGCAGAGGAAGGAACTCTGTTAGCTAAACCTACTTGCTTTGGTTTCATGTTTTCCCATTTATTATATTGCATATATCATCAGACAGGGCTTCTGGCCAGTCCGTGAAGCCCAAAGAACAGGAAATGAAGATACAAATGTTTGAAGAAGTCTTGATGCAAATTAAAAATTTAAGATTAATTAGAAAATGGTTTCTTATCCACATCTCGGTATACTTTTAGGGTTGAGATTAGATGAACAAGTAAGATAAAGTGAGAACTAACACTGAATGAATATTCTCAAATAATTTATTAATAAAATCAAGAAAAAAATGGGTGAGCACACCAGCAATTTACAACATGGCTAGAAAACTTGCTGCCAATTAATAGACCTTTCTTTGATCCAATAGAAAATTAACCTGTAATCAGAATGTGTAACCTCAAGTTCTTTATATCATCATATCAATACAATCTTCGTGAATTGTGCATCGGGTATAAATTTTATTTTGCCACAATAATTGGGTGTGCAAAATATTGCTTTAATGTTTTTCAATTCAAATTGAATATTTTTGAGTCTTACCTCAACAGGGAGTAAAAAAACAATTTGAGACATGTGAAGATTTTTCTATTTACCTCACACTCTTCCCAGTTAATTGTGGGAAGGCCTCTGGGGGAGAACTCTCTAGTCTTGGTGCTCTCAGATATCCACTGCGCAGGCAGAGTTCAAACTTGTGGCCTCTGGCTGTTTCTTAGGACTTCGTTCTCTATCATTGCTGCCACATACTTGGGTTCTGTGAAGGAGCAGGATAAAGATACACCTCTTGCTTCTAGGACCCCGCCACACCTACTCCCCCACCAAACCTTGGGGCTTCTGGCCTGGAAGACAAATGGCCTTGAGTCAAGTGAAAACCAAGGACTTAGCATCTATCGCTTAAGAAAGGGGAAGTTGGCCGGACGCCAGGGCTCACGCCTGTAATCCCAGCACTTTGGGAGGCCGAGGCGGGAGGATCACGAGGTCAGAAAATCGAGACCATCTTGACTAACAGGATTAAACTGCCTCTACTAAAAATACAAAAAACTAGCCGGGCGAGGTGGTGGGCGCCGTAGTCCCAGCTACTCGGGAGGCTGAGGCAGGAGAATGGCGTGAGCCCGGGAGGCGGAGCTTGCAGTGAGCTGAGATTGCACCACTGCACTCCAGCCTGGGCCACAGAGCGAGACTCCACCTCAAAAACAAACAAACAAAAAGAAATATAGATTGTCTAGAGTTCCTACTTAAAGACAGAATAGAGAAAAAACAACTTTTTTGTTACTTAAATATTCTAAATATTTCATCAGATAAGCATCTTGCTTCTGAAAGTTGTGATACAGAAGTAAACGGACGGGATTATTCTATCTCTAGAATTAGGTGGGATTTATAAATTTTCCTCCAATTTAAGTTTATAGCATTTGCCTTATTTCTGGATTTTATTTTATATATTGTTATTATGTATTATATTACATGAGCACTCTGATTAGGGAGCCCGCTGAATAAACATTTTAATCATAGGCAAGCCATCAAAGAGCAAGACAAGCTGCCCAATTATAAAATGCCTTTAAGGATCACCTTTCCTCCAGCTCTGAGTCTGGCATAAATTGTCCCTTGTTACAGGATGTACAACAAATTAAAATCTTGGTAAATGAAAGTGAATTATAATGGCCTTGTCATTTTCAAGGTGATACATTATATGAAGGGTTCCTCCCACCCAAATATTTTAAAATTGTGATTTGGGGTTGTTCCATTTCTGACCGTGCTTCATTACCATGCAACCTGATAAAAGCAGTGATTATTCACTTTACCAAAAAATAAATTATGGATTTTACAAAAGAAGATCCACAAGGATTAAGATACCCCTTACATTAAAATATTTAATTTGCAAATTTGGTCTTTTATCTTCTTTACTCATTTGGATGGTGTGAAGTATTGTGTACTTCCAGCAATAAAAATATCCTATGAGTTATTCATGGTGCTACTGTTGTTTCAGTGTGTGACGTGATGGTAAACAGTTGAATACCAGTAGGATAGATTGAACATTTAAGTAAGAATGTCTAGGTTTCTCTCTGGATACATTTAAAGTTTTTTTCATTTTGATGCAAATTCAAATGTGTTTTACAAACAACAACCCAATAAACCCAGATCTTACTGTTTTACCCCTGTGTTGAAGCATAATTAGTTGAAAGAAAAAAGGGAAATTTCTCTTAATCTAATTTTACTCCTAAATTTTGCCTTCCATACATTAAACTTACATCTAAATGCTTAAATTTGTGCTTCTCACAAACCCGTAAAGGATTATACAAATTAATAACTTAAAGCAGTTTTAGGCAGAACTAGAACTGATTTTAGGAGCACTCTCAATAATCACAACAGTAATTTGCACACAGAGCAGATGAGTTTAAACCTTAATGAAGTCTCCAGTACAATATTGTGAGTTTTGTGTTTTTCATCATTGAAATACGATGTATTCTTATATTTGATTCGAAACACTTTTCCAGATTACATAAACATAATTTTAAAACCATAAACATCACTTTGGAAATGATTCCCAGTGAGTTTCTGATTCTCTGCCATGTTTTCCTCTCTGGGGACACTTAGTGAAGCTCCTTTGCAAGCTGTGGGCTTCTCTGAGTTCTGAGATGGCTGAATGAGACCACTTATTTTTGTTCTCATGGGTAAAACTTCCTTTATTTTCAACTAAATAGAGCTATCATCACTGGAGAGTGAAATCCCTCTGCTAATATTTCGGAAAAATATCAGTTTCTGAATATAAAATATGTGTTTGACTTGTGAAAAGTAAAACTCTGTATAAAAGCAAGTTAATAAAACCTCAAAGATATTTTTAATGACAGTGCTTTGATATTCATTGCTGAAAACGAAGTTAGTATAAATTCAACATTTTTTGACTGTAGAATTAAAATGATCCTTATAATAGAAGTAAAAAACAACTTTTGATATTTTCTTTTGGGGTCATAATCAATAATCAGTGGTAGAGTGGAGTTTTTGTGATTTTTAATTTTTAGTATTTCCTTGATTTGGAGCAAAATTTATGACCATTTAAAAGAAATATACTTTCTGAACATTTTCTTTAATCTCTCATTTTAATCCATGGTATTATGAAAGGAAAAGTTACTTAAAAGAAAAAAATGTTCTTATACAAAGATGATTAACTGATCCATCCTATTTAAAGCACTTGAGCTAACTGCTGAGAACATCATATACTTTCACATGGTTGAAATTTCCTTCCAAATCTAAATCAATCTTTAAATTGCTTTAAAACAGAAGATAAATGAGGAAAAAATTATCTTGCAAGAATCTATAAACTGTCTGTTATATGCCTTTAAAAGGGCAGTTTCTTGCACTAGGCTGTAAAATTTGTTCCTCTAACCCTAGTAAAATAGGATCCAGATGTCTTTTGTTTGAAAACTCTAGACTACTAAATAGTTTGAGTAAATTTTCTAGTTCAGGTCTCAGTTTGGGGACTTAGTTATTTTACCTAGAGCTCGAAAATTGTGTCAAGTGCCAGAAAAATGAGAAATCCATTCCTAAAACCTCATCATAAAGTCATTAACCATAAGACCTGTTCCCTATCACTTTTTTTCAAAAAAAGACAAGGGTATGTTGCCCTCTGAGTATTCACCCTACTTTCATATCACTGGGGTATAAAGGTATGAGGATATGATTTTAGTAGATTCGACCTTCTTGGTCTCTTTGGTGTGACCCTTAATTTGTTGGAGAACAACAGCTACTCCATTCTAAAACTCTGAAATCTTTGTAGTTGGAAGGGAGTGGAAAATACTATAAATGTGTAAAAACCTCATAGACAAAATAAAAATGTGGAGTGGTATAGAGTTCATGGAAACCAGAATGAAGCAGCCTTTTGGAGAACAGAAAAAAGATCTATTTGATGACTAAGTTGGCTTGCAGGTGCAAGCCCCCAACCCAAAGGGAATTTTGTGATTTACAATCTGTTGACATCTCCAGACAGACAGGAAGCCAATGAATTGTGTTTAAGTATGCATTTCAGGACTGGCTGACTGTACCTTAGGCAGTTTGAAGTATTCAAAAGCCAATATAAGCAGAGATTTGGGACTTAGTGTTGATTTTTTATGTTCAGTGGCATAACTAATTTTCAGCATTCCCAGATAAAGAAAAATCTCCAGAGAAAGGTTTTCCATGTGTGACTTTGTTACCAATTTTATTCAAACCTAGTCTACTTTGTTTATATTGGACATAGAGCCAAGTCTGTTGTTACTCTAACATATTTATTATTATTTCACTTTGTAAAAAAATTTAAAAATTATGCAATCTTTCCCTGAAAGGGGGCATGAATCCACCTACAATTACAAATGAAATCATATTTTTCCAATTCACCT